TTGCATATTTCCACATATTTCATAATATTTCCACAATGTCTAATGTTTATAATATTTCCCCTCAACATTTTTGACATTTCCGACATATGTCTTATATTTTAGTAAGCGACATTTCCATCGACATCGACATTTTAAACCTTGGGCTGGTTTGGCACCTAACAGCCCTGTTTCTTCAAGCAGGTCAAGGACATATTTCCTTTGACATAAGTTAATTCCATGCCTTCACCTTGCAACTTCTATTCCCAGGAAGTACTTCAGCTTACCCAGATCTTTCGTGTTGAAGTGATCCTATAGGAAGTTCTTCAATCTATCAATTCCATTGTTGTCACTCCCAGTTATGACAATATTGTCCACATACACCACTAGCAAGATTTTCCCATCTTTTGAGTGATGGTTGAACACGGAATGATCTACCTGACACTACTTCATCCCAAAGTTTTTCACTACTTCACTGAATCTACCAAAGCACGCACATGGAGATTGTTTCAGCCCATAAATTGCCTTTTTAAGTCTACAAACTTTACCATCCTCCCCCTGAGCAACAAACCCTGGTGGTTGCTCCATATATACCTCCTCAATTAGATCACCGTTCAGGAAGGCATTCTTGATGTCAAGTTGCAAGAGAGGCCAGCCATACATTGCTGCTAATGAAATCAATACCCGAACTGATTCAATTTTAGCTACAGCAGAAAATGTCTCCATATAGTCCACACCATATAACTGAGAATAGCCCTTGGCCACTAACCTGGCCTTTAATCGTTCTACACTGCCACCTGGAAGATACTTCACTGTGTAGACCCACTTACACCCAACAACATGCTTACCAGGAGAGAGAGTAGTAAGTTCCCATGTGTGATTGTGTTGTAAAGCAGACAATTCCTGGACACTTTTGGGAGTGGAAGCAGAGGATAGCAAGGATATAAAATGGCGACGGGAAGCAGAAAGATGAGCAACTAAAACATAATGAGAAATAGGATGAGATCTTGAAGGTTATAGAACAATTAAGTGACTTGATTAATACAATCCACCTGTCTCATGCCCTCCACTAATCTTCATCCCTGTCTTGAGATCTTGAAACACACAAGAAGAGGGACAAAAGGTTATAGAACAATTAAGTGACTTGACTAATCTACTAATAGACACAAGGTTAAAAGGGAACTTGGGAACATATAAAACAAAGGATAAAGATAAGGAGGTAAGATCAACAGTACCAACACCACAAATGGGAGAGGTAGAACCATTAGCAAGGGTAACTGTTTGGGATGTAGAAGACTAAGAAGTTGAAGAAAACACATTTGGAGTCCCAAACTTATGATCTGAGGCTCCAAAGTCAATGATGCAGTGTGAAGGTTTGGAAGCCAAGCAAACCATACTTGAGTGGGCAAGAGTAGTTGTGTTCTGTTGAGAGGATGTCTGAAGGAACTTCTCATATACCTCATGTGGTACATTCACCACCTCCTTCCTGGAAGCACCAGTAGATGTGGAGGGAGTCTGATCAGTTTGCTGATTTTCATTAATTGTACCATTGCCACTAGTCACAGCATAGTTAGCCCACGTATTGGGTGGACCATGTAAATCATAGCAGAAATTAACAATGTGTCCCTCTAATCCACAATATGTGCATTTTCTAGTTGCATTACTTCTTCCTCTACCACAACCCCCCGACTCTCGACCTACACTGCGGCCACTAGAACGATTAGACGTAGGACCACCTTAGTTCCCTGGAAACCCATGGCCACCACCTCCACCACCTCTATTTCCATGACCTCCCCCTCTAGTCACCACAAAACCAGATCTGTCCAAGAGAGAAGAAAACTTTGTAGAATCAATAGATATCCTCCGAAGACAGGCAAACACTTCTTCAAGCGAGGGGAGAGCAGACCCCCCTAGTATTTGTGCTTGAATAGGTTCATATTTCAGCCTTTTGACCCACTAGAAACCTTGTCACATCAAGTTGCTCTCATTGTTGTTGCTGAACCTGAACATCCGGAGTCAGAAGATGATATACATTAAGCTCATTACGAATATTTCTCATGCTTGCATGGTATTCCTCCAAGCTTTGGTTACCTTGCTTTAGATTAAAGTATTCTTGGTAAAGCTGATATACCCTAGTGGTATTATCTTGGCTGGAATAAAGTTTCTTAGCATGGTCCTAGATTTCTTTAGTTGTATCTAGAAACATAAAATTCACACTGATTTTAGGTTCCATGCTATTCCACAACTAGGTCATAATTTGTGCATCCTCCTGTTCCCAATCACTAAACCCTAGAGAATCGGAGGGGGTTTCTCCTCTCTCACTTGTTTTACCTTTTTCTTGGCTTTTAAAAACACTTCCACAGATTTGGCCCATGGCACATAGTTCTTACCATTCAACTTAATAGATGTCATTTGAACATTTAAGTAATCTGGAGAAATCATAACACCTGTTTTATTGTTACTCCCATCTCCAGTTGATGCCATCTTGACTGGTTCACCTCACTTCACAAAGGAATCACTATTATAAACAAAGTAGTTACCTTCTACTATTCAGCACCACACCACACACTACTCAACAGACTATAATTATGACCACACTACTGCTGTCATGAATTCAGCATTCGTAAACCCTACTTTCAACTCACATATCCAGGTATAGTCAGGAGTAGAGGCTTATATCCATATCTATCACTTCACACTGCCACATTAATAAAATCCAGACCAAAAGAAAGCAGCCGCAGTCCACTACTAGTCGAATAAATATTTCTGTTCACACCTGTCCACAACCAGCCCTTTTCATACCATCGAATAGAGGGTATCTAGTACACCACCACAACGATCACCACCACAGCAACCGGAGGCATATTTACCTCCAAGAACAAAAAACGACCACTCCTTTTTTGGCCCTTTATTGAACTTCCAATCTGTCTAGGAAATATTAAAAAAAACTGATATGGCTGGTGGCGATCCCAGGAAGACGAAGGGCGATGAGAAAAAAAAAGAACTGGTTTCTTATTGCTCTGATACCATGTAAATAGGTAGATTAATCCTATTCAGTTATAGATTCGAAGTATGAATTATAAAAGACAGTATTATCCCTTACAAGAGAAAAAGTCACTCTACCCAGCCGACCCACTTGGTATTTATAATGAATAAGTTGAATTACAAAAGAYAGTATTRTCCCTTACAAGAGRTRGGACACATWACTTAAACTTGAATAAAACAGACCATTCACTTCTAATTAGATAGACAAAAGACCAAAATACCCCTGTACTGTCGACTCTAACAGGACTCAAAAGATACGATACGATACACCCTAGGCGTATCGTATCGAAATTTTGAACCTTGGTTGAGAAAAGTTCTTTGGAGTTTAACACTTAAGAATTAAAATAATAAAGGAGGAAGCGCAACTCACCGGAAAGTCTCCACCTTCAAAAAAGAACTAGGTGGTCTTTATGACAACATCACTTACTATTAGGATTGTAAACGGATTAAATTCGAATTTGATTAAATATTTGAATATTTGATTTGAATTCGACCAATTAATTATTTTAGGTAATTAATAAATATATAAAATAAATATTTTATTTATAAAAAGTATATAAATACTAAGTTAATTATTATATATAAATTATATAAAATATTTAAATATTTATATATTATATATAAGAATTAAATAATCGGTTGAATTCAGATATTTATCAAATTGAATCAGTTCATATCTGAATTAGATCGATTATGATATTCGAATTATCCAAATTCGATATTGATGTTAAATCTTGAATTCAAAATTGGATTTTCAAATACCGTTGACACCCCTACTCACTATATCCCAACAACCTACAAAGAAATGCCCTGTGAAACCATCTGAACCCAGGGCACTATCCTCATCCATGGACCAAGCCACATTCTTCACTTCTTCACAACTTGGTATTGCCTCTAGAAGTGCACTATCTTCATCATTCACCAAGGTGGGATTCATCTGCAAGAGCTCGTCATGTTGTGTCATTGTCTCTGCAGTCAGGACCTGTTCAAAATACAAAACTGCTTGTTGCTTTATCACTGCTGTCTTCTCATTAATCATCATTTTGTAACTTAATAAGTGAAAGAAAGTTTCTCCATTTTACACATAACACACCAGTGAGGGGATAACCACCAATTAATTCTTTTCCTTTGGAGTAAATCGTAAGTATTAATTCTTTCCAGGAAGACTTACCAACAAAAGCCGCCAACTCTTGGAGGGATAGAATTGCCCCAAACCTCCTTCACCGAAAAGGGTAGCTCCATTGTATCAAAAGGTTGAACAAGAACCTTGAACAAAGAAGCACATGAATAGGCACCAAAGGAGGAAAGGGTCCAAATCATGGTTCAAAGTATCAATACACCTCTGTGTCTCGGTAGATTCTGTACTTTAACCGATATGTGTTCTATTTTTTAGTTTTTTCTTTTTGAAATTTTAGTTTCAAATATAATTATATATTCTTTAATATAAAAGGATTTTGTAAAACACCTGTAAACAGGTGTATCGGGGCTCATAGATACGATAGGATTTGTCCTGTGTCAGGTGTATCGTGTTGAACTGTTGATACTTTGAACCTTGCTTACACCCGTTCTCAATCCTAAATCCCAGTTAAAGCCATTTCTTGAACTTGGAGCCACCTGAACTCTATGTACTGCCTCTCTTACCCTTTGATGGATATTTTCAAAATATTCCACATTCCATGCCTTCAAACCATTCCTCAATCTGTGCAACTTCAGAAAGAGAACCATTAAAGGATTGATAGCCACTGGAGTCCTTCAATTATTAGCAACAAAATCGAGAAACTGCAGATGATGCAACCACATCTGTTGGAACTTGAAAGGTTGTGGTCCTGTCATCACATTTTCTTCTTACAAACAACAAAGGGCTGTGGTCTGAGTATAACATATTTAGATGAGCAGCAAGCTTCAGAGGAAGATTACTAGCCCAAACACCATTCACTGCATTAAAATCATTTACCAACATCCAATGCTCAATGGCTCATTTATAACATTAAAATCATCCCCCATCCTTCCTTGGCTGAGCTTCTTGCCGTGCTTAAAACCATCACTTAAACCTCCAAGCTGATGATTCTAGATACCAGAAGTGGACACACTCGAGAGTTCTCAGTGATATCTTTCTACAAAGGTATTATTGGGGAGGCAGGTGGAGTTTTCCCAAGCAAGGCCATTTGGGGTGCTGCTGCTCCATCAAAAGTAAATATGTGGGTGGCAACATGGGAGGTGTGATAGAAAATATATGCTGCTGAAGGATAGCTTCATCACTCTAGACCTGCTTTGTGTGCTATGTATAAGAGAGGAAGAAACATCAAATCACTTGTTTTTGCATTGTTGTTTTAGTGCCTTAGTTTGGCACCACTTTATCAGGGCTTTAAACTTGCAGTGGTGCTTCCATAGTTCAGTGAATCAGCTTTTTTAGAAGAATGGAAAGTTGCAGGTATGACCTGGAAAGGGAATGTCTGCAAGTCGGCTGTTCCAGCAGCAGTTATATGGGCTATCTGGTATGAAAGGAATAACAGAGTTTTTGAGCAGAAATAAAGTACAGAATCAGGGATGATCAATTTGGCAGTTGAACTCTTAAATTTTTGGGGGTGAACTTTTTGGGAGTCCTTACTTGGATATACTTGTACAGCATCTCATTGTACAGACATTTGATATTAATACATTATACTTTACCTTAAAAAAAACGAAAAACAAAAAACAAAATCCATTCATAACAAATCTGCTTAGGCATCAGAGAACACAACATAGTGCAAGCTGGAATAGCTGCCACTACTGACTCCAGAAGAATTTCTTTACCTGCTTGATTGAGGAAAATATCATTCCAAGAATTAGTTTTGCTTGAACTTCTATCAATGAAGTGGCTAAATGGGTCTTTCTTTGATCTCCCAAATCAGTGTGAAGGTCCAAATAAATCGATGGGTGGTCCACTCTTTTCACATGCAAAGACTTGGCAAGTAAACTTTTAAATTTTTTGTGGAGATTATAGCTAAAGAAAACTTCAGTTTTGGGTTAGTTTTATAGTCCAAAAAGGAATCTGTAAAGGAACATCAATTTCATGACTTGAATCTATAAATAGTTAGTGAAAATTACATTTAAAGAAGATTTGAAGAAATAAAGTTTGATTTAGTGAATTCTGGTTGTCGCCAGGAAATTTTCTCTTTTTTCTCTCCCTACCCCATTTTCTTTGTTCTAAGTGATCTATCTCTTTTCTGTTTATCCCAACAGCAAGAGTTCTTCTCTCACTTCTGATTTCTTGCTCATTCTTTGGCAGACAGAAAGCTATCTATTTTCTTTTCTTCCCTTATTCTTTATTTCTAATCACCCAAAGCCCCTTCTTCACCCCAAAATCCCACTATGAAATATTAAATTAGTAGGACCCCTATCCCTACTACATCAATTGGCCGTGCTTTCACTTGGTCTATGTTAGCCATGTACCTACCCTTTTGCACATTGGCTTTGTCATATTATTTTTTTGTTCAATTAAAATTCACCAGTTGTATTGGAGAAAGTGGTGATATCTTCTTGAACAACTGAAATATCTGAGAATCTTTTTCTTTTCCTTTTTAGTCTTATATTGTTGATTTTCAGTTGTCTAGCAAAGTTTTAAGACTAACATGGTTCATGAGTACCTGCAGGAATTGAGTGGAGTCTGGACAATGATGCATCTAATGCTGCTGTTGTCGTTGCCAGTGAAGCTCATGCAATAACATTGGCAGTTGAAGGCCTATTGGGTGTTGTTTTTACAGTGGCTACTTTGACAGATGAAGCTGTAGATGTTGGGGAGGTAAGATTATTAAACATGGTCATCATCTATATTAAGTTCAGTTTATCATCTGATTATTTTGGTTCATTCTTTTCAATATATTTTATTTTATTTATTATTTGTGTGTTTACAGCTTGAATCTCCTAGATGTGTTAGTGATCCACCGGGAAAATATACTGGGCAAACTGCAATTCTCTGCATATCAATGGTTGATTCTATGTGGTTAACCATCCTGGATGCTCTATCCCTGATTTTGACCAGGTATAGTGACAGAATCAGCTGAGAGATCAGATATGGATTAAACTATTATATATACTATTCTCATGGTCCCCATTTTTGACATATAATTAAAATGAAAGGTCACAAGGAGAAGCTATCATATTAGAAATATTGAAAGGATATCAGGCATTTACTCAGGTATCCTTCTGAAAGTCTATCTCTATCATTTCTTGTTATTAAGTCCAGTACAGGGTCTATAAATCAACATATCCATATTGTGTCTTACAGGCTTGCGGGGTTCTACGTGCTGTTGAACCATTAAACTCTTTTCTGGCATCCCTATGCAAATTTACTATCAATATTCCAACTGAAGTTGAAAAAAGGAGGTAGTTGATCAAAACTTTTATTTTTCTTCATGAGATATATATTGTCTGCAAAAGAATTTCACCTTGCAATGTCTGCCTTCTGTATCTGTGATTAAATCACTAGATTGTAGGGTGTATTGGGGCCATGGAATGGGATCAAACAATTAGAATACCAAAACCGAACTCCAAAGCTTTGTAATGTGACTGGAGCAAATATATACATTTAGATATGTGTGTGGCATTTGAAGGGAAATCATGTCTTAGGTTTTGGTTAATTTTAAAGTCCATTTTATTAATTAGTTAAATAAGCTATAGACTAATTAATTAGTTGTAATATCTTAGGTTGTGGGCACTCAGGAAATGACATCAAAAAGTTGAGTGTGGCAGAAATACAAATGTTGAGATGGATGAGTGGGAAAACTAGAAAGGATAGGATCAGAAATGAATATTCAGAACCTTGGAATACCTCCAATAGGAAATACTAAATTGAGATGAAATTATTACCCCAAAATAATATTGATTCTGTTTTTAATAAAAAGTAGCTACCGCCTGGTTTGTGCTGCTTTTCTATTAAAAAGGTGGCAGAGCATCTCTTCTCCCGAAGTTACAGGGTCGTTTTGCTGAGCCCCTTCAAGCATGGTTCTTTCAAGTGCCCTAGTATAGTATTTTGTTCTCTCTTACAATATATAATTGGACCTACCATTAGTACAAAGTACAAACACAATATTTTATTACCAACCAAAGAAAGGAAAAAAGGAAAGGAGGTAACTGACATCCTTTATTATTGAAGTAAATTTGTATTGAACATCTCTAAAGAGAAGTAAGAGCATAGTGGTGCATGTTTGGATAGATAACCAGGAATGCACTGTGATCACTGCTTTTCTAAGCAGCCTCCTCTCTAGCCGATTCTCTTCTCAACAAGATGTGTTTCTTTCGCCTGAAATTATCAATATAATTGCAAGTGGAAGGACATTTCATGCCACCTTGCCTACGTAACACTTTTCTTTACCATTCCAATAGTGTATATCTATGTAAGAGATTTCATTGAGAGAAAGATGGTAAAAATGACTAGAAAGAAACATGTGTTCTTCGATTGCCAAGCATCATCCACTTAAAAGGCAAAATAATTTGAAACTATAACAAAATGTAAATGGAATTCAGAAAACCTTGATGCAATAATGGACAAAGAAGGGATCCATAAAAAAAAAAAAGAAAATAATAATAATAATAAAGACAAAGGGTGTTGGGGCATAATGCTGAAAACTACCATGGGATACTTTGAAGTTGAAGATTGAAGATAGACAAAGGTTAAAATCAGGGATGGAATTTGGAAGTCCCAAGTCCCAACTAAGATGAGATATAGTGAGGAAGGTGCCCAAATGTTAGAGATCAATATGGAATGCAAAAATCATACAGCCTCCAGACCATGGTGACAAGGTGCCCTTGGAGGCTCACCTTGCCCAGTCGTCAAGCAGTTTTGTATACTGTGTAAAAAAATCCTTTTATATTGTTATTTTTTGAGATTACAATTATAAAATAGACATTATTAACCAAAAATATTCATTTTTTGTTTTTATAAACTAATTTCTTTTTCTTATTTTCTTATTTGTTAGGGTTTAATCAACACAAACATTGCTAACTGCTGTATTGAACCCTCAAAGAGTTCAAAATCTGAACCAATAAGTAAGGGAAGAACTTTAAATTTTGTCTAATCAACACATTTCCTACAACAAAAATAGGGGTTCAGCCGATATATTTTTTGAATTTTCTTTTCTTTCTTCCTTTTCTTCTCATAAATATGTTGATTTTCTAGACTTAAACATGAAGTTTATAATTTTCTTATGACAATTATGAATAGTTAGTAAAGAAAGATGGTTATGGAACCTAGGGAACTACCCTAGGATATGTGGTTTTTACTTAAAAAAATCCACCTCCTATGCGATAAGGCACGGCCCCTATCACCTAGCCTCGCCTTGGTGCCTTGAAAACTGTTATGTAGGAGAGAAGAATGGAAGAAGAGAGAAGATTGAGAGAGAACTGAGAGCCAAAAGTGCTACTGGCGGCGCCAGCTTTTGATATATATACTAGGGCGACAGAACATAAAAAATAAAAGGAGGAAATTACAAGAGTACCCCTACGGTACTATACTTAGATAAATAACAGTCTTTTAACACTCCCCCTCAAGTTGGGACATAGATGTCAATCATGCCCAACTTGTCACAAATCATGATGCCGTGAGTGGTGTAACCCTTTTGTAAAGATGTCTGCAAGTTGATCTTTAGAGCTAACATAAGGAGTACACACTTCCCCTGTGATGACCTTTTCTCTGATAAAGTGTTTGTCGACTTCGATGTGTTTAGTTCTATCATGCAACACTGGATTAGCAGCAATGTTTATGGTTGCTTTGTTATCACATAATAGTGTCATAGGTCTGTCACCTGGAAAACCCAACTCACTCAACAAATTTTTCAGCCACTCCATGAGACATTGCCCAGTATTCAGCTTCAGCACTAGATTTAGCTACCACATTCTGCTTTTTGCTTTTCTAGGTAACTAAATTACCTCCTATGACGGTACAGTAGCCACTAGTTGACTTTCTGTCATTCAGGGATCCTGCCCAATCTGCATAAGTATACACTTCAACTTTCAAATGTCCATGCTTTTGGAATAACAAGCATGCACCTAGGAACTTCTTAAGATATCTAAGAACTCTTTCTGCTGCTTCAAGATGGGTAGTCTTAGGGGCATGCATGAACTGGCTAAGAACACCCACTGCATAAGCTATGTCTGGTCGAGTCATAGAAAGATATAAACAGTATTCCTACAAGTCTTTGGAACAGTTTAACATCCTTGATGGGTTCACCCTGACAGTCACCTAGTTTGTGGTTAGGATCAATGGGGGAATCAACTGGCTTCACTCCTAGTTTTCTTGTATCCTGGAGTAGATCCAGGACATACTTTCTTTGGGAAATGAAGATACTCCTTTGTGAGCGGGCCACTTCAATCCCAAGGAATTACCTTAGAGGACCTAGATCTTTCACTTCAAACTGGGTAGTAAGAAAATTCTTCAACTTCTGAATTTCATCCTTCCAATTACCAATGATAACTATATCATCAACATATACTATCTGTGTCGCAATCTTCCCTTCCCCTCTCTTCACAAACAATGTGTGATCAGACTGACACTACTTGTATCCTCTTTACTGTACTGCTTCATGGAACTTGCTGAACCAGGCTCTTGGTGATTGCTTCAGCCCATATAATGATTTCTTTAGCCTGCACACTTTCTGTTCATTACCTTGAGCCTGAAAACTAGGGGGTTGTACCATGTATACTTCCTCTTCAAGGCCACCATTCAGGAAGGCATTCTTGATGTCAAGCTGATGTAGATCCCAGTCAAGATTAGCAGCTAGGGAGAAAAGGAGTCTAATGGAGTTCATCTTAGCAACAGGTGCAAAAGTTTCTACATAATTTACTCCATACACTTGTGTAAACCCCTTTGCCACTAAACAAGCTTTATACCGTTCCACGATGCCATCAGCCCTGTGTTTAACCGTGAAAACCCATTTACAATCCAATTGGATCTTTCCCCTCAAGAAGATCTACAAGTTCCCATGTGCCATTTTTATGTAACGCATTAATTTCTTCCTTCATAGCATTTGTCCATTCAGGTACCGAGAGAGCTTCTGCCACATTCTTAGGGATAGGGACACTATCAATGGAAGAGAGAAAGGCTCGAAAGGAGGGTGAAATGTTTTCATAGGAAACAAAGTGGGAAATTGGGTGTTTAGTGGTGCAAGATCCAACACCTTTCCGGTGAGTAATAGGAAGGTCAAGGTCATTAGCAACAGAAGTGTCAATGGCAATAGGGTCAGGAACATCAACAGGAACCAATGTACTTGAATGGGTATGATCCACTTCTGGAGAGTCTGATAGCATTGGTGGTACAGCTTCTAGATGCCCCACAGCTCTTGAAGACATTTGGCCTTTGTGACGACGAAAGAAGATACGAAAGGGAGAAGGATCAAGAAGAGGAGGGAGCTGAACTAGTTTCTCCTCATTCCTACACTCCCCCTGAGGAGAAACAGGGAAGAAAGGCTCGCTCTCAAAGAAAGAGACATCCATAGAGACAAAAATTTCCGAGAAACAGGATCAAAGCACCGGTATCCCTTCTGAGTGAAGGAGTATCCCAAGAAAATGCAAGGAATGGCATGGGGATCTAATTTGCCACGAGTGGGTGACAGATTTTGAACAAAACAACGACACCCAAACACATGAGGAGGAATAGGAAGAAGGGGAGCCTTAGGGAAAAGAAGCTGATGTGGGGCTTTGCACTCTAACCAACGAGAGGGCATGCGGTTGATGAGATAGGTAGCACAAAGGACAGCCTCAAGCCAAAAACGTTTCGGAACATTCATATGGGATAGTAACCCTTGGCCCACTTCAAGGAGGTGTTGGTTCTTTCTTTCACCAACACAATTTTGTTGTAGTGTTCGGGAACAAGAGCTACGGTGAAGTGAGATACACGAAGCAAAAAATTCCATAAGATCACTATGAAAATATTCTTTGGCATTGTTCGATTGAAAATTTTGGATTTCAGTTTGAAATTGGGTGAAGATCATCCGTTGGAAATCTTGGATAATTTTAGGTACTTCATCCCTGGTTCGCATGGGATATACGATATACCCATGTATATCTAGAGTAATCATCAATAAGGGTAAGAAAATACTTGTAGCCACTCTTAGATGATAAAATAATAGGGCCCCAAACATCATAATGAATAATGTGGAAAAGAAATTCAAATTTATTATTCTTTGAAGAGAAATGAGTTCTACATTGCTTACTCAATTGACAAGTTTGACAAGTAAATTTTGGCACTAAGACTGACTTAAACAATTCTGGAAACACAATTTTTAAAGACTCTAAAGATAAATGACCAAGACGACTGTGCCATAAATAGACCTGACTCTTACAAGACTGACTCTTAGACTCTGTGACTTGAAGACCAGCCTTATTCTCCAGCATGTAAAGCCCATCCACCATACATCCTCTACCAATCATCTTCCCCGAGGCCAGATCCTGGATCACACAGTGAGAAGGGAAAAAGGTCACTGAGTAATTTAAGGAATTAGTAGTACTATTAACAGAGAACAAATTAATGGGAAATTTTGGGACATGTAAAACATTAGACAGGGTAAGGCCAAAAGGAAGAGAAATGGTTCCTTGACCAACTATGGTAGAGTATGGTGCATTGGCTAGTCTCACCTTGTCTCTTCCAGAAAGGAGGTGACAGGTTTGAAATTTAGAGGACTTACTAGTCATGTGTTTAGACGCTCCAGAATCAATGATCCAAGGAGTCTCCTGATGTAGACGCAAATGAAGTTGAGGAAGGAGCATCCATCTGACGAACTACTCTACTATAAAGCTCTAAATGGTTCCGAAAGGAATTTATAATATCCTCTCTTGGGTCAGATCCAAAGGCATTTGTCCGAGTCACAGTAGTGATGGGGGGCTGATTCTCCTGAGTAGCCATATTTGCCATAGTGTGTTTTCTTGTACCTTGCTGTCCTGACTTTTTATTCATATCTGAACCTTTCTTCTTATTCGGATCTTGAGCCCATTTCGGCTTCCCATGAAGATCCCAGCATGTGTCTCGGGGTTTCTGGCAATGAGTACACCACAATTTGTTCTTGTCATCCACCTTTTTCTGAAAATCCCCCTTCTCGAAGGTATTTCCCCCACCGGTAGTAACACTCCCTTTCGCTACCAACACATCTACATCCCCTCCAGAATTGTTCATCAAATTTCTTCTGCTTTCTTCTGATTGTACAAGAGCATAACTTCCTGGTCTGATGGAAGATCTTTGCTACCTAGGATTTGGACTCTGATAGATTCATATGTAGGGTTCAAACCATGTAGGAAAGCAAACACTCTCTGTTGGGAAACAAGTTTTTTGTACAATTTTGCATCTTCATCACACTTCCAGTCCACACTCTGATAATGGTCTAACTCCTTCCAGACAAAAGTCAAGTCTGAGTAGTACACAGATAGACACCTCTCCCCCTGTTTACAAGTGGACGATTCTGCCTGTAACTGGTAGATTTTTGCATAGTGACGCAGTCCAGAATAGGTTGATTTTGCTTGTTCCCAGATCTCATTTGCCATTTCAGCCCACATAAAATTCCTTCTTATTTGAGGTTGCATAGACACTAAAAGTCAGGACATGACCATGCTGTTTTCCTGGTTCTATCTGTCGTATTCAACACTCCCAGAATTGGGTTCTTTGATTCTCCCATTTATATAACCTATCTTTCCCCTTGTAGTGATGTACAGCTTGATCCCTCTTGACCACTCTAAATAATTTAATCCATCGAGAGGAATAACAGCCATGGGAAAAGATAGATCCACACCCCCACTCATTTCATTCGTAATTGAGGAAACACTGGATGCAGCAGAATCTTCACCACTCATGATTTCAGATTCAAAACAACACTCTTAAAGGGGGTACACAGCCTTAAAAAAAATTCTAACACTGAGGGAGAAAGGAAACTCCTTTTTTCTTCGGAAACACACCTCTTTTCTGTAAAACACAGGTGCTGTTACAGCATTAACAGGTCAGCCCTTGACCTACAGAATCAACACAGGTGTTGCCACAGTGCGTACAGGTAATCTCTTGACCTACGCATCAACAGGAAAGCTATTACAGCAAGTATAGGTCACTTTCTGACCTTCAGTTCACCATAAAAGCTGTTGTTGCAGCACACAAAAGGTCTTCACGACCTACAGTTTTACAGGGATCAGCTGACCCCACAAAAAAGGAAAGAAAGAGGTGCTGATCACCTCACATCCAATCAGCAGACCTAGTACAGGTTCTGCCCTGGCACATGACCAGAAAAAAGGAGGAGAGGGAGAAAAATTACTTCAGTGCATGAGATCTTCGATCAGCCGAACAGTAGATGAGGGCGGCAGATCTGGAAATCTGGTGTGAAGAACTGTTCACTCGACTTCTCCTTTCAGATCTGATAGTCCCGCTCTGATACCATGTTATTACAGGAGAGAAGAATGGAAGAAGAGAGAAGAGTGAGAGAGAAGAGAGAACTGAGAGCCAAAAGTGCTGCTGGCGGCGCCAGCTTTTGATATATATACTAGGGCGACACAACATAAAAAAATAAGAGGAAATTACAAGACTACCCCTGTGGTACTATACTTAGATGAATAACAGTCTTTTAACAAAAACTATGGCATAGAACACAGTAGTATAGGGGATCTACATGCCTCTTCTTGGTAGTTTTCCCTTGTAAGGCATTCCCCGGGCTGTTGTCCACACTCCACGCCATAAAAGATGCTAGACGGGATGGGGATCCCAAAGCTCTTTATGTAGAAAAGGGCTATTAGTTAGTGGTATCAATATGATATGCCCCATATCAGGTGTATCATATTGTATCTTTTGGGTCCTGATACACCTGTTTCCAGGTGTTTCGGGACCCCACTCTTTTTCAATAAAAAGCATGTTTTCCCCAAAACCTAAATTTTGAAAAAAAAAAACTGAAAAAAAAGAGTTTCTGTGTGTTTCTAATTTCTGATACGCCTCTGCCAATACACAGAGGCAATATCAAAATTTTGAACCATGGTCACGGATTCTTTGGCGAACTTTGCTTGTGATTCTCTTGTTAATAGTTGTTTTGATAGTAGGCTTATGTTACCACGTTCTGCTAGTTCTTGTTTTATGGATGATTTACTTTTTCTTTCTAGGATTAGGATTGGATAATTTCTGTATTTTGGGGATGAGGATCTTTGGCCAGTTATTGATGTACTCAGGTTTGGGGCAAGGTGGGCTAGGTACTCCCCTATACTGTTTATTTTGTTATTGATGATTTTGATAAAATTTTGTGGCCACCCCTCCACCTGGAGTAAAGTTTGGGGTTAAAAAGAAAAAAAAAAATGTACCAGGTACAGGTGGGCTGCCCAACATTTTTACGGAAAAGAAATGGCTGGACAAGGTTCTGGGTATGAAACTTGCACTAAAAATTGAAATGTCTGACAGGAAATAGCCACCAAGAACAGGTATTTGGGTATTGTAGCTAGGAAAAATAGTCCTGCAATTAGTCTCACTGTCTACAAATGCCTGTCTTCTCCAAAAATCAGCATGATGGATTCTTTAAAGATGACGAACAAAGAACAGCTGATTCAAAGATCTTCAGACAATTTAGCAGGCTGAAACTACTTACCTTAAAAAAGAAAGTTATGTAAATTTGTGCTTTTGTACTTTTGAAGTATCACTCTTAACAGATTTCTAGTTGTTATTGGAACATTTTGTGTTTTTGATCCTCAATACCTGAGTAGTGATTAAACCTTTTTTTGGCAAAAGGAATACCTGACTAAATTTTATTGCTCTAATTTTGTATTCTTTGCTACTTCTTGTCTTTTTCCATATTTTAAGAAGGTAAAGTAAAGTGTATCAAAGCTCAAAATTGTAATAGAATGTATATATATTCAACTATGATTTTTTTTTTTTTATCAGTGAATATTCAGATTTATTAAATCAAAGTCAAAGATAGTACAACTTAGGGAGAGGCACGAGATGCTACCTCCCCTTTAGTTAAAGAACATAACAAAGGAAGATGAAAATTACAATGAAACCCGAGTAGCCCCTTGTTTAGCAAGGTAATCAGCCAAGGCTTTAGCCGATCTACCCAGCCACTGAACTCTAACTGTCATGCCCCTCAATAGCCATTTGACCTTTTTTAAAATATCCTTAAAGTTCCAAGTGACAGTACCCGGGTCAGCCAACCATCTACCACCTTGGAGTCTCCTTCAATTATTAATTCAACTATGATTTAGTATTCTGTGTTTCATCACTGTCTTTTTTTTCTATATTTTGAAAATGCAAATTAAATTGTAATGCTCAAAAGTGTGACAGGATGCATTTATTTGATTCATATATAACAAGATGTCATCTTTTGCTTAATCATTGTATGTCCCTGCTTTATAGAAGCTTCTTTAATGTATGCAGAAAACACCATTTGACATCAGGGTTTCTATACCATAAGCCCAAATAGAAGTGCCGAACTCCTAATGCAAGAATAAGTAATCTGCTCTTTCAGTTGTCTCTTGACATAAAGCACAATTTAAATCCAAAATTCCTCTAGTGTGTTTGTCCAAACTCCACACCATGAAGGCCACCTTTGACAGGGAATAAGACACTAAAATTTTAAAGTCCACAACCTCCTAGAAAGAAATCTAGTTGTAAAACAATCAGATGGATCCAGGCCCAGATTCGGGTGTCTCCTTGATGTAGTACAAATGAAGAACCTTGGAGTTTCAACACTAGATCATCCAGTTCCCTACTTCCCAATTTTTGTTGCTTCATTGTTATTGTTACTGTATTGTTGTGCGTTTAGACAGCTGAAGTATTGTTACTAGTTTACTGCCTGACCTTTCAGCAATGTTCCACTAACTCCTAGTTCAAAGCGTTCTGAACTTCTAGTTGATCAGCGAGATAGCATTGTTCTTACCCCTAAAAATGTGCAGGTACTGGATCTAGCTTTGCTTGTCTCTTCTCACTGTAATTCATGATTTTTTTTTTCTTGAACAATATTATCATGTAAGGATGCTCTTTTTTTTTTTGCCTTGAAATACAGGCATTGAGGACTCTCTTCAACATAGCTCATCGATTACATAATGTGTTGGGCCCATCATGGATTTTGGTATTTTAATTTTCCTTTACATATTTGTTGTGTAGATTATGAAGTTTGTGTTCACATGTTAAATATTTGAAGGCAATTATTTGTAGGTTCTGGAAACCCTAGCTGCTCTAGATCGAGCAATCCATTCACCACATGCAACCACACAGGTAATCCTTCTTAATGCATTGTTTGTCCATTATGAATTATGCAACTTTACCATAGACTCATGTTCAGTGCCTGACATGAATACAAAGTTTCAGATATGTTCTAAAGTGGGAATATGGCTCTTCTAATGTGGTGAATAGAAGAGAAGAAAATAGAAAGAAGTCCGATGGGAGAAAATTAGTTTCTTTCGTCCAGTCAGCATTACTCATAGGAGAACTGACTCTTAATTGAATCGATTTAAATTACATGAATTGCATAAATCATAAGATTCATGAAACAAACCATAGGATTCAAACAAAAATCTAAAGTTCAAATAAAAACACTTGGGATTCATGATTCAAATTGTGAATCATATTGTAAATGATAAGATTTTGGCAACATCAGCTAGCCCTTACTGCCCATTATTTTATTACCATCTTCCTTCAAGCTATTCACAAACTTTCTTCTTGGGTAATCGCCCCTCAAAAGAGTTGGTGTTCACTCGCCAGCACATCAGCCATATGGCATTGGTTGATATGTGACCAAATAAAAGTTTCCACTCCCCAATCAGTGTCACACATACAGACATACTAGAAAGTATTAATCTATTTAGTTTGTTTCAGTAGCTTATGCATTTTGCCTTTACTGTATGCAGGAAGTTTCTACTGCTGTTCCAAAGCTTACAAGAGAAATTTCTGGCCAATATAGTGACTTCAACATTCTTTCTTCTTTAAATTCCCAAGTGAGCAAGGAAACCTAAGTCCTCGTTTTCTTTTTCTTTTTCTTTTATTTGGCATGCTTTAGCCTGCATATTCTAACAAATTATTTTTTTTGGGAAGCTGTTTGAGAGCTCAGCACTGATGCACATATCTGCAGTTAAGTCACTTCTTTCTGCACTACATCAGTTATCAAGTCAATGCATGCCTGGAAATTCAAGTAGTTTTTCACAAACATCAAATCAGCAAATTGGAAGCATTAGCTTTTGTGTGGAAAGGATGGTATCGATACTTGTAAATAACCTTCACAGTACGTCTTCAAGTTCTAGTTTTTTTTATGAGTTTATTAATTATGTGTTTCCTTTTTAGATATCATGATGTTCTCATCTGTTCTGGTAACTAAAGCATATGGAATTTCTAATAATTGTTGCCCAACTTTCTCCTTGCATTGAATTTGGAGCTTCATCTTCTACCTTTATTCTGGCACCCTTAGTGGTCTAAGCTGTCTGTCAGGGACTAAAAACCTGGTTGCAGGGTGGGGTACAGTTTCTTTCTTCTGCTGCATATGCCATTAAATTATCTAAGAATCTTCTAACAAATATTTAATTAGATATATCATTTTGGCCTAAGTGTGAAAAGTGTTTCTTTCTTTCTTGATATCGCTGAGATTGTACAGAAATGTTTTTCAGTATCTGAATTAAGCAGCTCTACAATTTGTCATATTCATAGAAACAGCTAGAAATACTAGAACAGTGAGAGTGCACAGCCTGATTTCAGTTAGTCAAATGAATGATTTAAGCCTTTTTTTTTAACAAAGGAAAAATAAGTCTATCTTATAGATGGATTAATAAAGGAGAATTTTTCCTATAAAATTCTTCTACTTTCACATCAATGAAAAAATTCTCTAGTTTCATGAAAAGCATATCTCCAGCACGTTTTCCTTTCCTAAGAAGTCTAAGATTCCATTCTCCTATTACATTGAGAGTCTTACTAGACATATCCAAGACAAGCCTGTCTCAACTTCATCTGCCATCTTATGGAATGCTTTCCATATCTAGATTCCCTTTGGTTTCATTCTTCTATTTATTGCTCTGAACTTACTTCTCTGGCTTTTGAATATAAAATAGTTTTCTATTCATATTTTATCCTTAAATTTCATAAAACAAGGATGTTTTATGATGTTTCAGTGTAGGCTTATGATTGTTTTTTTTTTCCATATTCTGAGTTATTTCATAATTTACCAGGAGCAGAGCCCCTGTGGGATCAAATTGTTGGCCATCTTCTTGAGGTTATCACGAGTATGATTTTCATTGGTTGAAATGCAGTTGTGGTGTTTACATCTTTCTTTGACATCAAAAGAATAAACTTTGCAGCTTGCAGATAATTCTAATCAGAATCTGCGAAATATGGCACTTGATGCATTAGATCAATCAATTTGTGCTGTTCTAGGATCTGATCACTTTCAACGCTTTACGCTTCCTGATGACCATCTTGAAAATTACCAGGTGAATACAATAATGGTTTCATTTTGAGTTTCATGGCCTCGTGTAGTTGGAGTAAGGCACTGTTGTTGCTGTTAATGCTTTTTTTTATGCTGTTGTATTTGGGTTATATAGGAGCTAGGTTTTAACTTGGGTATGCATTATGTTGTTCATTTTTGTTCTTTCTTTGCTTCAGATGGAGAACCCAGACACCGAACTAGGATTATTTGAATGTGCTGTCATATCCCCATTAAGGTTTCTCTACGTTTCTAGTCAAAATATTGATGTCCGTGCTGGATCATTGAAAATTTTGTTGCATGTTCTAGAGGTAATTTAGATATCTAATAGAGGATTAAATTTTATTAATATTTTCTCATGTAATTGACTTTGGTACTGTCTTTTCTTTCCTATACAAAATTGCTCTTAGAGACATGGGGAGAAGTTATACCATAGTTGGCCAAGTATTCTCGAAATGTTGAGGTCTGTTTTATACTGATTCAACTTTTGAGGTTCTGTTTTGACCTTATCTTTTCTCCCCCTGGTTTGATTGGACCTAGTTATATTTATTCTTGTTTTCCTTTTTTCCCTTTGCTGTCAGGTCTGTTGTCAATGCAGCAGAGAAGGATCTTATTTCATTGGGTTTTCAGGTAGGAATGAATTGTTTTAGTTTTAAATGAGTTGAAAAAAAAAAGATAAGGAAAACAAGATATTATTGGTTTCCAGAAATGTTGCCCCTTATATTATGTCAAAATCATAATAAAAGTACTCATCTTCTATTTTCTCTCTGTTTCTTTCTTTCTTACTTTTGTTTTTGGGGGGAGAACCAATGCGAAAAGATATTTTCCAATTATCGCACCTTAATATATTTTTTTAGATGGGAACACCCTAATACATTTTTAACAAAAAAAAAAGAATAGGAGAAGTTATGTATAAGAGCATTCAAGGTTGACATCAGTGGAAAACTTGAAATTTTTCAAAATAGAGGAATAATAGCATAGGGTTGATATCTTAGTGTTCCCTAGGAGCTTTCTGGAGTTCTTGGTGGTGGAGTCATGCTGATCAAACCATGCCGTGATCAAGAGCAGATATGGGATGCATATCAACAACTGGGATACAAATTCAATGATCAAGGATCACCCTTGTGTCCCTCTGGAAAGTCACCAATTTTGTTCTTTGTTCAGCTTGTTAGGTAAAAATGCCATGTCTAGAGTAAATTTTCCAGAAGAGTTGTGGTGGTGGGGAACATGCCCCTGAGCTAAAGATTTCCTAGGCCCTTGCCTATATCCAATCTCCATTCTTAGCCTGCTGTTTCCTTTATTAGTCATGATTGCACCTGCCTACTACTCTTTGGATTTAGGCTTTCTATAGACCCAAGGGCCTTCTTGTAGATTTTTTCTGTACTCTCCTAGTAAGATTTTCATTCTCCTTGGGGTTCAAACACTAGGATTTGGACATTTTTGAGCCTGATATATCATTCTCTCCTGCCTTCTTGATCTGTGTGCTCCATAGTTGTAGTCCTCCTAGCTTCTTTTTAATGTGGTTTGGAAGGCCCAATTTTCCTCAGGATTATAGCCTTGATCCTACTTCAGAGGAAAAAAAAAAGAGCAAAAGAAACGGCAAGACTTTCTTCTGTACTAAACACATATTTCATTATTATGTATTTGATCACTTTCAAAGGTTTGGGCATTAGGCAGTAAAAGAAATAAAAGGAGGCCAAGATTTTTTACAATGCTAGAAAATAGGAGGGGGCAGAGAGGGGTAAGGGATTACAAAATGAGTGCAAATAATTATTAGTGAAGTGGTGTTATATCATGTACAAACTAAAAAAAAGGGGAAAAAACTATTTAATGTTTGTGTTGCAACACCTTCTAAATGATATGACCATGTTAACATGCATTTGTGAGGACTATAAACCAGAAAATGACAAACAGAGAACAAGAGGCCATTTGATAAAAACTGAATGACTTGTTGCATGTATTTTTAGTGAATAAGTCTTAAAAGACAAAAGAATAAGTCATCCAATTCAGCCACTTCAGCCATTACCAAACAGTTCCTACGAAGAAACAAGGTCTAACATAGTTTGTCTTGGTAGCTTACATCCAAGGGAGACAAAAGTAATCCATCACAATAAAACTGAAGAATACATATCTATGAGCAGAGCCAACTTCTCCATCCTCTCAAACTCACTCTCTAAATCCTAATCTAACCCAACTGATGACTTAAATAAGCTTTATATCTAATTAAATCAGAATTACAACCAGGCCCCTTTTTGACTGATAAACATAAACTCACTAAATGAGAAACAAAATTGGGAATATATTTTTATGGCCTCCAAAAACCTCCCTCAAGAAAAACCAAAATACAAGAAAATATAAACATATCCCTCTACATCCTCCCTCAAAATCAAGATAGGAAAACCAGCTTGAGCTTGCTAAATAAAAGAATACCAAAGTAGTTTCCAAGAAAACAGTATGCTGTGGGAAACCAAACTGTAGGAGGCCCCTGAAACTGGAGTCAGTAGTCAGAAAGCCAACATAAAACAGTCAACAAGTGCTAGTCGATGGAATAGGGAGGAAATTTGAACCACCGTAATCTAACCAAAAGCAACTGAAGATAAGGTGATCACAAATCGGGAAGACTATCAGAATCGCCAATCTTGCATCAATAGAAAATCATGTCAAAAGTGAAGATACCAGAAGCACATCTAGGTCAAAATGAAACAAATCCCAGATCATCAAATTATAGATGGCTAGCCGAAAAGCTAGATGAAAACTGATGGTAGTAGCTTCACATGGCAAACCAGAACAGCGTATTGGACCTGATTGGAACTTTTGAAGATATTAGAAATGTAACAAATCAAACCATCACTAGTTGGAAATCAATAGTAACCAAAGCTGATAATCTGAGTGAAACGACAAGGAAGCAAACTATGTAATCATTGTAATAATGATTTCACATGAGAGCCCACTTCATCATTTCATTGGGCGTCATTACTAGATCTCATAAATCCATACGAAGGGATTGAGCCAGGTCAATCCCAAAAGGAACTCCCAGTATCTTACAACATGATTGATATTGCAGAAAATATCATTAGAACCTCGGCATTTCATCAAACACCTATTGGTACCACATTCTATACTAAACATAACAGTCTCAAAATGTGAGAAACCACTCAAAAATTTTGAGAAATCCAAATCAGCAAGTGATGAAAACTGCATAGCAGAACTTCAAAATCACATAATATTAACTCATGGAACATCATCAGAGTAATTTCACTTTTCTTTTGCTTCATAGAACCAAATTAACAGACCTTATTCTTGCTATATTTATTAAGAAATCAGAAAGTATAGGTCTGTGTAAAATATCTTATATGGCATCTTAGGTTGATTGAACACAGCGGTAGACAAAGTAAATGAGATCAAACCCCAGATTAGATGCAGATAGCTTATAAAGCCTGGGAAATCTAGGTCCTGTTAAAATTCAAAAAAGAAGATTAATGGTGCCAAAAAAAACTAGCCATTCAGATTTTAGAAAACTGAGAAACTCTAGGACCTCTGCTTCCCACATAATGGCATAAACAAGAATCCAGAGAATTGCAGATTTATTTTTCTTTAATAGATCAGGAATCTGGTTATTGTTCTTATTTGAGTGCTGTTCAGACTCCTTGAATCATCCTGTCAGGTATCTTAGATCTGTTGTTTCTGATCTTATTCTCAAACTAGACTAAATAAAGGACAAAATTTTCTGTGTCTTCTAATACTCTACAGAATCAACAGCACATTAGTTCCTTGATAATCTTTTCTTTGAATTCATTTGGGGTTCAGATGCTTAAATTGTACTTCACTTTTGAATTACTTTTAGCATGTTTTCTTTTGCAGAGCCTACGTGTTATTATGAATGACGAGCTCTCAACCATACCTGCAAACTGCCTCGATGTGTAAGATTCCGCATCTCCATCTGTAGATTAGGTTCTCTTTGTTGTTATTTTTTTTTTCTAGTGAGCATTTTTTGCACCCAGTGTTAATAGAAGAATTATAGTGCTAAAGGATTACAGTAGTCTTGTTTGTAATGATAAACTACTGTGGGCCTTATGGTTTTTAGATATTGGTTAAACTACATAACACTATGCTCATGTGAAGTCACCTGTTGGCTGTTGCAGATGTATAGAAGTTACAGGAGCTTACAGTGCACAAAAGACAGAATTGAACATAAGCTTGACAGCAGTAGGCCTCCTCTGGACCACAACTGATTTTATTGCCAAAGGACTCCAGGTGCAAGCTGGAGAGAAGGACTTAGGTTATTGTTGCTACTGTCTCTTTTGTCATTTTTCTTGACTTTCCTTTGGTGTTGTGCCTTTAGTATTAAGTTGCTTATGTTACAGGAATGCTTGATATACAATTTACTCCAAGGAAGATAGACTCTGAAAATATGGAAGGACAGGTTCCCTTGATAAATGCAGTTGATTGTGACAAGTTGCTATTTTCGGTTTTCTCTTTACTTCAAAAGCTTGGAGCTGATGAGAGACCAGAGGTCGGAACTTTTCATGTAGTGAACAGATCCTCAATTTTTTTAGCAAATAGTAAAATCTGGGATTTATACATGCAAACAACTGCAATATAGTGAACCCAATTTCATTTAGGCATTTAACCAATTGATAAAAGAATATACACAGCAGTGTTGTCAAAGCATCTACACTACATCTTGCTATTGTGATATGTCATATTGCATGGGAAATGATTAGGTGTTGATGTTCAAATAGTAAAAGGAAGGAGAAGGCTTCTCCTGCCTCACTCATTGCCGGAGTACATGATGATTATTAAACGTAAAACCATGTTGTGTGTCTTTACAGTTATAGGATTAGTGGGTTTGGCCATGAGTGAAGAGTCTAGTTGGATTATTTTTGTGAACCTAATTGAATTCTAGGTTGAGGAAGAACGAGGATAAAGGAAAGGGAGGAGTGAGACCTGGAACGGCTCCTTCCTCAATGAGTAGGGCAGAACTACTTTGGGAAGCAAATTTGTTGTTAAAGATTGAGTTACCTTGTTGCCAAAATCAGTAAAACCAGGTTTCTTATTTGGGGCTTCCAATTGGGGCTAGGGCTGCTGCTGCTTCAACTTGGCAACCTGTGCTAGATAGAATTGATCAAAGTGTTCTTTCTAACTTTCCGATTTACTACCTCTCTTTGTTGAAGGCTCCAGCAGCTGTGGTAGGGGAGATTGAAAGAATTCAAAAGGAATTTTTGCCAAGTGGGAAGTGGTGTGCAAGCCTAAAAAGGAAAGGGATCTTGGGGTGAGAAGGGTGGGGGTTTTCAACAAAGCTTTGTTGAGGAAGTGGGTGTGGAGGTTGGTGAATTTTGTGTGGGATTCAAAGGAAGTGAGACATTTGTATGGAGTTTGTGTATGGAAAGGGATTGTTGAGCAGGAGAAGAAGGAGAAGAAGGGAAGAAGAAGGAAGAAGAAGAAGAAGAAGAAGAAGAGGCTACAGAGTTAAGGCCTCAAAAACTTAGCTTCAAACGAGTGAAGCTTTGCATTTATACTATTCTGGCCATACATAACAATATGTCTACAGAATTACAAAAATACCCCTGTGGGTACTAAGTCTGTGAACAGTACATGTAATACACCTGTTAACACTCTCCCTCAAGTTGGGGCATAGATATCAATCATGCCCAACTTGTCACAGAGACCTTGATGTCTGGAGTGGTTTA